CCCACCCACCTCTGAATGTGAGTGATCAATGTTCCTGCTGGGCCAGGCTCTTGCTGAAATCACATGCGAGTCCTATCAGAACACCCTCCTTAGGTCCCCCCTGTAGCATGCTCTTCAGGACAAGATGAACACATCCACCTAAAATCATGTTTTCTTTCCATCCTAACTGAAATAGCATTAAAGGGGGAAATGGGAATTCAGAGCTGCCAGCTACAGTATCTCTACTATCAGTTCACCAATAAGGCCTAGTACAGACCCGCAGAGCCTCTGGATAAATTGTATTTTCCAAGGGTTAATTAAGCTGTCTTGAGCTTCTGCATGAAGGGGAACAAACTGGCACTTGCAGCGTTTTCTGAAACCTGCTGTCGACATTACAGTCCCTGCTGCTTTTAGCTGTATCGATCCGATGCCTGACCTGTGAAATCCTTGATGGCTGCTAACACTGGAAGCTTACTGGAGCTTTCCAAGGGAGCTTCAGGACAGCTTGTGTAGTCAAGTACAATTACCTGTCCCTCCAGGAGAGCCAATTAGTTCACAAAGAGCTGGAGCAGAACAAATGTTTTGTATGTGATTTAGAGTCTTTAAAAAAGCTTTGTTCTGTCTGATTCTTTTGTTTCTAATTTTATGATTATTGTTCAACTCACGGGAGTCCACACTGCATTTCCTTACTTGTCTCATAAAGGACTTGGGCATGAGAAAACAGATTTAAAGTTATTTTTTAAAAAATAATGAAATTTCCTATGCATGATGCAAGATCCAACATTGAGACTTTTCAGCAGCATAACTCTAATGTAGAATACCTAAGTTTTCAGTATTTCTAGTCCCCAAGTCTTAGATTCTTTTGTTTAAAATTATTGCTTGTATTGTTCTAACTCTAAATTTTTAACTAATTTTGGGGTGGAATAAAAAGAAAGCAACTGTTATATGAATGGCACACAAAGGGAAGGCAATCATGTACAATATACTGTATACAATGAGAGATTTTGAACATTACTTGATAAGACTTAAGAAGAATGGGCCAAAATCTGATCCCAAGCAGCTCTACTGACTTGACTCAAGTTGTACAGGTATAACTAAAATTGACTGAATAATAACTTCAACGTCTCCCCCATTAATATGGACTAATATTTTAAAATTAAAAAGGACGTGGTCATTTGTCTGTGTCTGTTTGTCATAGTGGATAACATATGTGATGTTCTGTACATAAATCGGTTTGTTACAACAACTGTTGCAACCAGGTATCAGCTTATGGCTGTAGGCATTCTGAGGTCAATGCTTACAGACTTCATATGTATTGCAAATCATCTAGCATGGTGTTAACATAGAACTCTAATACAAAGAATGTTTTTCTCTTCCCACGGAAAAGTGATAGAAGCCAATATGACCTATTCTCTAGTTTTGAGCACAGAGTTTAATGACATGTACATTATTTTTGGATTTCTTCCAAATCTAGAAATGCTTGGCTTGCTTTTCTGTTTGAAAAAATGGAAAGAAATGGTTGGGATGCATTCCTTTTCATTTCAGGAGAGTAGTGACCCAGAGTTATTACTGTTTAATGATTATTCAGTATCCTATACGAAAAGAGAAAATGGCTTTAGTCCAGTTCCCACTGGAAGAATGTTCATAGCACAGATTGTGTAGTCATTTAGTACTTTTGTCTATGTAAGTACTAAATGACTGTGCAGTAACTGGTGTTACTACGCAGTAGCATCCCCGAATGGCTTTTTGGTGACACTGACTGCACAGTAGCTCATTACTACTGCACAATCAGTGTCTTGTATAGGCACGGCCATTGGCACCCTAATTAGCAGTGACAGCAAATAGACCAAAAACTGAATAAGTATAAGAACAGATTTTGAACTCTAAGTCCTAGAACAGTAGTTATCAGTCTTGTAAGACTCAAGACACCTCTCAGAACATGCCAGGTCTTAGTTTTTGCTTGTTTTTTTGACCGTGGAAAACTAGAAGAGCAACTGTTCTGTTGCAAAGAACTGAAAAAGACTACAACAGGTAGAAATGTTTTTCACATTTGTTTTCTATTTGAAATCTCTGTCTATCTTGTGAGTCACATGTAGGTGTTCGCACACTTAACTGTGCTAATATTGTGTAGAACCCCGAGTCACCCTTAAAAGAATCTCCTTACACCCTGGTTGAGAATCTCTGTCTTAGCAGTTATCCATCCACATGGAGGAGAAGACACTTTTTCAGGAAAACATGGCAACCAAACGTATGTTTGTTGCATTATACTGCTATGTCTTATGAGGGATTTGGAATGCCATGCTGTCTATTTGATACTTTTAATAAGCGTTACATTTATTTAAAAGAAAAAGAATTGGCCCAACATGGAAGAGTAGCAGTATTAAATCTGCAAGAGTATTACTTTGTTCGCCACAGAATGCATGCAGATGACAATTAGAAACATGAAAAATAAATTACATTTTTAAAAAGGCATGCATCCACCTTCATGCACCAAGGGAGGATTGCATACTTGAATAAATAAATGAATCAGCAAAAAATACTTTGTCTGATTCAGCCAGGAAAGCAAGTTGTCTTGTTACTAAACATGAGTACTTTATTATTAGCTATACATTTCAGTTTAAATTTTGAAATATTTAGGACCATTTGGTTTTAGGGGACATGTACAGAGTAGTCACTCCACACTGGAAGTTAGTTAATAAGAGTTTGATGCAGGAAGAACCTGCAGACATTTTATATGGTCTGGCCATAAAATTGAGGTGGCATATATTAACCCACAGAAAAATAACTGAATGCAGCAGATTGATATATGCACAACACTTTTGGACATTACATCTTGTACTGGGATGAGCTTTTAATGACTGTGTCCTGACAGAAAGCTTTTCTGCACTTTCAAAGCACAACTGAATTAAAACGATGAGTTTTAGAGCCTGCCTGGTAAAACATACAAGATTTGGTTAGAATACAAATATTGGGGAGAGAGAGAGGGGGACTCGGAGTATACTTGTGACTGTATTAGTTAATCATACTTAATATGGAAAATTACAGAAACCTTAGAATTAATTTTTAGAGAGACATTAAAAAGGAAAAAAATCTGCCATGTGATCTCTTCTAGTAAAAAAAAATGGCTCTCTGACTTATCATGGTAGAGGATGATAGCCTGTTCAGTGTCCTAACACTACACACAGTCAGCTTTTCCATAATCTATTTATCTGTACTTTCTGGCTAGGTACAGACATTCAAAAATCCTGAGGCAGAATTGATCTAAGTTGCATGGTTTTCTGTAAGTGGCATAGTTTAGATCGGTCGCAAACGGAACACAGTTTTGCCCCTTGGTCGGGGGGCGCAGAAATCTTTGACCAGGCTCCACCATTTTAAAAACAGTCTGTGTGTGCTGAGCACCTGTTCTGTTCCAGATATAACCTGGTTTCTGATCATTTATACTGATAAAAGTGTAATGTCTGTACCTGGCCTCTTATACCACCTCTCACCCTTGTATCTAAATGTTGCACAAGTAGATCCAGTTTAGGAGTTTGGTGGTGGATTCCATGGGAATCGTCAGCCCAATTGTGATAGGGTTTTATCAAACAGGAAAACAGCAAAATCTAAAAGGCAATCTGGGCCAAATCCCCCTCTAGCTAGAATAAGCATAGCCTCTGAAATCAATGGAGCTATCCCACATACGTCAGCTGAGGATCAAGCCCACAATATAGAGATCTGATAAGTAATAGCTTGTATTTTGCAAAATGCATTCTCACAGGGGAGCAAAGCTGTTTAGGAAAAGCCCCTGTGAATTCACACGTGAGAGAGGCATTATGTTAGCAGTAGACACTAGTTTACATTAGGCAGAAGCTGCATGGAAATGTTTTATATGTGAAAACTCAAATATTTCTCTGGGCTTTGGACTTCCTTCATGCGTGATGCAGCCAAACTCCACTGAGGTGGTAAAGTAGCTAAAATATTAAATTTGTTTTAGAATTTTCTGCCTCATGGAGTTTTTCATATTCAGTTAATCTTTTATGCAGAGTAGAATATGAGCTTTTTCTACCTTTTTTTGGTTTTTATCTTTGGGGAATAGAGTCAGAGCAGACTGGGTGGTTCACTAAGCAGAATAGCTCTGCTGGCTGTGATTTTTTGAGGCTCGTACAGTGCTAGTGGAAATGAGGGCTCTCTGGTTGTGTTATTGGCTAGAATGGTACTGGAAAAGTCTTTGTGATAATGCTGGGTGGATTCCTGCATCACTCAGATTCTCTAAGCTAAGTGACAAACCATTATGTTCTTTGCAGACACCTGCTCCCACTCGGAGGAATTTTGCCTTTACAGTGAAGATCAGTCAGGTTTGCACTGTGTCAGCCATATTCCTGGCATCAGAGTTATGCCAGGAGAAACGTTTGCATTGTCTTCTCTGGTTGAGTGTAGGCCAAGTTCTAAAAGACGTCTGAGATCCTGAATATTAAGTAAGGGCCCTGCTGGGAATTCCTGAGCAATCCAGGTTGTTCCTCATATATCTGAGTTCAATAAGGTCTGGAGCACTAAACTAGACCAATTGGCTTGGATATGCCTGAGGGCAGTGGGACCAGATGCTTGTCATCTGAAGGGACAGTTGCATTGTTTTGCAAAAGGACCCCAGAGATTTGCTGGGAATAACAAATGAAACTGAAAACTGAAGCCAAGTGACACAGAGT